TTTTCCACTTTATTATGCTCGACAGTTTCATTTATACAATATTATGTATTTGTGTACACAATTCTATAGAACAGTGCAATATCTAAGAACAGTAAGGAGAGTCCAATTTGATGTCTGTGTTTCTCAGATGGTCTGAACTAACATAGTTATCTCTAGGTACAACCATTTCCCTAAAAGTGACTTAAGTTCTCCAAGTCCACTGATAGAGGAGGTCTTCCCCTCCTTCCTTCTGATCCTAGTCTTTCAGATCTTATCAGGAGTGGCTGCATTGTCATCTTCTGTGGCCTGTTAAGGCTGCTTCCCCCTCAGAGGGAGGAGATTCAAGGGCAGGCCAATCAGAGCACATCAGAGACAGTCCCTGTTTCCCTTACTATGGAACCTACTTAGACACTGAACTGCCATGGGCTACATCTGTGCATGGGTTCTAGGTTACCTCCATGCACTTGGTTGGAGTATGAGTCTCTGGAAAGACCCCTGTGTTCAAATTTTTTGGTTCTCCTTGTGGAGTACTTGTCCTCTCCAAATCTTACTATTTCCCACTTCTTTCATAAGATTCCATGCATTCTGCCCAACAGTTGGCCATGAGCCTCAGCTTCTGCTTTGATAGTCTGCAGGGCAGAGCATTTCAGAAGCACTCTGTGGCAGGTTCCTAAATTGTTTCTTTGCCTCTTTGCCTTTTGGGATGGGGACTGAGCATTTTAGCCAGATTCCTTCCTCTTGATTAGTTTCTTTAGGTGTACAGATTTTAGTAGGTTTATCCTGACAGAGGACTAATATCCATAACATACAAAGAACCAAAGAAGCTGAAAAACAACAATCCAAGTAATCCAATTAAAAACTGGGGAGCAGAACTAAACAGAGAATTCTCGGTAGAGGAATATTGAATGGCAGAGAAACACTTAAAGAAATGCTCAACATCATTAGCCATCAGGAAAATGCAAATCAAAACAACCCTGAGATTTCACCTTACACCCATCAGAATGGCTAAGATCAAACAATCATGTGACAACACATGCTGGAGAGGTTGTAGAGAAAGGAGAATCCTCCTCTACTGTTGGTGGGAATGTAAACCTGTACAACCACTCTGGAAATCTATCTGTTGCTTTCTCAGACAACTAGGAATAGCACTTCCTCAAGATCCAGCTTTACCATTCCTAGGCATATATCCAAAAGAGGCTCAAGTACACAATAAGGACATTTGCTCAACCATGTTTGTAACAGGTTTATTTGTAATAGCCAGAAGCTGGAAACAGCCCAGATGCCCCTCAACTGAAGAATGGATACAGAAATTGTGGTACATCTACACTGTCCCTACCCGCGAGAGTTCAATGGGGTCCTAAAGAGGGGGCTTAAAAGAATGGGTAGGACAAAGAGACACGAAGAAGGAAGCCAAGTCGGTTTGTCTGATCAAGACCTCGTTTATTAGAAATTTTTACCCAACTAATATAGGGAGAAGGGAGGAAAAAGCGGAAGGCTTAATTACTGCTGCGGGAGATAGCAAGAGTGCTTTCGTGGCTTGAATATTGCACCTGCAAGATACCGTAAGGATGTTTTCTTAAGATATCTCAGGGATGCTCTAAAACTAACAGACAATGTCCTCACAAATCTATCACCCATGACTTAGGGTCCTAGATAACGCTTTCACTAAATAGCTTTAGGTCTCCACTAAATGACCTTTTCTTGCTATTTGGCTTTGGCTTCAGTAAATAGCTTTGGCTCCTGGCACTAGGCAATGGAATATTACTCAGCAATGAGAAACAAGGAAATCATGAAATTTGCAGGTAAATTGTGGGAACTGGAAAGGATCATCCTGAGTGAAGTATCCCAGAAGCAGAAAGACACACAAAGTATATACTCACTCAAATAGACATATAATATAGGATAACCATGTGTTCTCGACTCCTGACAGATACATAGTTTATTTCCACAACTTTGTTATTTTGATGGTGGTGCAATAATCATTTTGCTCAAATATTTCTGAAATATATTTACTTTTGGTCATTTGGGTGAGTTTTTAGTATATAACCTGGTGGAAATGCACATGTTAACCGTATGTGTCAGGAAGAGGCTGTAAATCCCTGTAACTTAGTTATTAAAGTTTCCCATTTCTACTACAGCCTTCACAACCACCATCTGTAAACCTGTCTGAACCTGTCAGGAGTGGAGCAACTGCCTCAGGCCAGAAATCAGTTGAGAGCTGAGGCCCTGATGTTACATCCACAGCATCTGCACAGGGCTGAGGAAAGGGTGTGGGATGCATTTCCTCAGAGAGGATTAGGACTTGGACCTCAGCATCCTGCTGCCTGACCCAGGTGTCCTTCTCCAGCTGTGAGATGTCCTTATCTAAGAAGAACCCTGCTCATGAATATGCAAATTGTGTGGGTCTGTGGTGGTAAATACAGAGGTGTGCACACCCCAAACAACATACGCCCCTGTCCTCCCCACAGTCACTGAGCACACAGGACCTCACCATGGGATGGAGCTGGGTCGTCCTCTTCCTGGTGGCAGCAGCTACAGGTAAGGGGCTCCCAGTTCCTACCATGAAGTACAGATAGGGACAGAGATGACACTGCCATCCACTCTGCCTTTCTCTCCACAGGTGTCCACTCCCAGGTCCAGCTGCAGCAGTCTGGGGCTGAGGTGGGGAGACCTGGGGCCTCAGTGAAGCTGTCCTACAAGACTTCTGGATACACCTTCACCAGCTACTATATGAGCTGGGTGAAGCAGAGACCTGGACAGGGGCTGGAGTGGATTGGAAGGATTTATCCTGGAGATGGTGATACTGACTACGCTCAGAAGTTCCAGGGCAAGGCCACACTGACTGTAGACACATCCTCCAGCACAGCCTACATGGAGCTCCGCAGCCTGACATCTGAGGACTCTGCGGTCTATTACTGTGCGAGGCACAGTGCTGCACCCACATCCTGAGTGTGTCAGAAACCCTGGGGGAGCAGGAAGCTGCCCTGGGACTGAGAGGACTGAGGAGATCAGCCTAATTGTTTGCTCAATCATTCTGAGTGTCCTGATGTCTGTCCCTTCACAGTCTTATTGGATATTGGTCAAATTTTCTTTCTTTTTTATTTTTTTGTGTCTATTTTTACAACAAATTTATGCATTTATTCATTTTTGTATCCTGATCACAGCCTGCTCCCTCCTCTCCTTCTGGTCCTATCCTCCCCTCACTTCCCCCCTCCCACCACCATCTCCTCAGAGAAGGCTGCCCCCCCTTACAAATACACCCAACCTATTAAGGTCTTAGTACATTCTCTTCTATTGAGGCCCAACAGCAACCCAGCTAGGGGAAGATGATCCAAAAGCAGGCAGCCAAGTCCATGTCAGATACTACCCATGTTCCCCTTCTTGATAGGGGACCCACATAAGGACTGAACTTCCCATCAGTTCCATATGTGTTATCAGTCAGTCCACCCATGCTCTTTAGTTGGTGCTTCAGTCTCTGTAAGTCCCCATAGGCCTAGGTTAGTTTACACTGTTGGTCTTCTTTGAGCATCTCTTTAGAGAGTCCTCTGTAGAGAGTTCTCAGTTTATCTCTCTACCTTATTTTTAATTGTATTATTTGGTTTGTTGGTATTTAATTTCTTTAGTTCTTTATGTATTTTGGATATTAGCCATGTCTGATGCAGGGTTCATGAAGATCTTTTCCCAATCTCTAGGCTGCTATTTTGTTTTACTGACAATGTCCTTTCCCTACAGAAGCTTTTCCATTTCATGAAGTTCCATTTATTAGCTGTTGCTGTTGTTTTGCTCAGGAAGTTGTCTCCTATTGCAAGGAGTTGAATGTTAGTCCTCATTTTCCCTTTGATTAAATTTAGTATATCTGGTTTTATGTTGAGTTTTTCATCTACTTGGACTTTCGTTGTGTGGAGGGTGATAAACATGGATTAATTTAGATTCCTCTACATGCAGATGTCCAGTTAGACCATTTGTTTTAAACAATGCTGGGCAGAGTCTCCCAGAAGACAGTTATGCTAGGCTCCTATCTGCAAGCATAGCAGAGTGTCATTAATAGTATCATGGATTGGCTTTTTCCCATGGGGTGGGTTTCAGGTTGGGCCAGACATTGGTTGTACATTCCCTCCTTTTCTGCTCTACCTTTATCCCTGCACATCTTGTAGACAGGCTAACGTTTGGGTCAATAGTTTTGTGTGGCTTGGTGTTCCCCTCCCTCCACTAGCAGTGCTGCCTGGTTGGAGTGTCGGTCTTCAAGCCTGGATAGCTCAAGTAATGAGGCTTCATGTCCTGAATCTGACAAGGAAAACTTCTTAAAGGACACATTGCTGAAGCTCAGGACTCCTTAGTTCATGTCTAGACTGCTGCAGCTGAACCAGAGAGTGGACCCCTGTGGGGAGAAGACCATTGTCACTTCAGTCTCTGGGTCCCCCTCCTTCCTGGAGCTAGGAATGCACTTACCTGTAGCTGCTGACCCTAGGTAGAGGATCATTCACCCTCAGTCCACGGTGAAAACCCACATTCTCAGGGGACAGTGGACAAGAAGTTATTAATATGGTACCGTGGAGTGTGTGGACATCCCTGTGTTTACTAACATAGTCTCTGTGATTTACATATGAATGAGGACGCATCATTAGGTCAAGATAGGAATCTGTTTCAGGCAGGATAGTTAACAGTTTTCTGTGTTGGTGGGATTGTGAGTTCTGAGTTCTAAATCTGTCTGAAAAATATGAATATCCTGGCATCTTTTCAGAAAGAGCTCTTCCACCCCACTGAGAGTTATGCATCTTCCTTTGGACCCTCACTGTTACTTATCTTCTTTAGTGTGTACCTTGTAGAATGCTTATCCTATACTACATGACTAAAATCACTTAAAAGTGAGCACAGAATGTGTGTATATTTCTGGGTCTGGGTTTCCTCACTCAGGATGACCCATTCTAATTCCATCCATTTGTCCGCAAATTTCATGACTTCCTTGTTTTTAATAGCTGAGCATTCTACTGTGTAAATGAACCATGAACCCCAGTTTCTTTATCCATTCTTCAGCTGAGGTACATCTAGGCTCTTTCCAGTTTCTGGCTCTTACAAAGAAAGCTGATTCCCAATTTCTCTTCTAGTAGATTTAATGTGTCTGGTTTTATGCTGAGATCTTTGATCTACTTGGACTTGAGCTTTTTGCAGGGTGAAAATATGGGTCTCTTTGCATTTTCTACATGTAGACATCCAGTTAGACCAGTACCAGTTGTTGAAGATGTTTACCTTTTCCATTGTATACTTTTGGCTCCTTTGTAAAAAATCAAGTGTCCATAGGTGTGTGAGTTTACGGTAGAATTAGGGGAGTCACTTGTGTACACTATCATATCATCTGTGTCTGTTGCATGCCTTTTGATCTCATTGCTGTCTAGCCAGGACGCAGGGAAAGAGGAAGTCCACAGTCCTAATGAGACTGGATATGCTGCGCAGGTTTGTGTGTGTGTGTGTGTGTGTGTGTGTGTGTGTGTGTGTTGGTTCTCTCCTTCTCTGAGGGTCAGAGGAGGGGGGAGAGGGAGATGAGGGAGGGGCAGAGGGGAGGGACCTAGAGGAGAGAAGGGAGGAGGCTACAATTGAGATGCAAAGTGAATAACTAAGTTAAAAAATATGAAGATTGGAAGGACAACAAATGGGCTGTTTCAGTCTCTGAATGTAAATAACTGTGAATCAAGAATGCCACAGCCTGCACAGCTATCTTTCTCTATTAATGGAAAAATTAAGTTATTTCAGGAAAAATGCAAATTAGAGTAATTCATGACTTCATGAATTTCTTCAGCAGTGAAGAAATCTTTTGGTGGAATGTTTTATAGGAAGGAAGACGAAAGGTAGACTAACCTCAGATAAGCAATCTAGACAAGAGGAAGAAACAAACAAGTCCAACACAGCAGATCATCAAACTCTCAAAACTAATATGGAATCAAGAAAAGAAATAACAAATATTCTAGGAAAGCAGAAAACCACCCAGCAAATATAGTAATCTGTACATAGGAAATATCAAACCTTGTACACTAATCTTAAATGTAAATGGCCTGGCTGCATCACCAAAAAGATACAACAAATGGACTAGATTAAAAAAAGACAAAAGAACCAACTATATCCTGTTTTCAGGAAACACACTTAACTATTAAACATACTAAAAAACTTACTATCATAGAATAAAAACAAACTGTCAAACAATTGGAAAACATAAAATGTTGGTGTAGTTATCCTCATATCAGTCATAGTAAACATGCAACTAAAATTATTTAAAAGAGATTAAAAGGGGCAACTTCATATTAGTAAGATGAATAGTTCATCAAGGAGATACAATGATTAGAAACCTTTATGCACAAAATTTTGAGCCCCTAATTTCACAATACATAAAACCCCAAAATCCACATTAGTCCTTACACAATAATAATTTGGGACTTCAAAACTCCACTGTCAGATTTAGATAGGGCTTTCTAACTAAAAACTGTTAAAGAGAATTCAGAGCTAAATTGTACTATGGGTGAACTGGACTAACTGAATAGACTGATAGAGGATATTACACTCAACAGGTGTAGTATCATAGATACAAGCTAGTGCTCAGCAATGGAAGAGAGAGAGAGAGAGAGAGAGAGAGAGAGAGAGAGAGAGAGAGAATTCCTAATTTCCTAACAGAAAATAAAGAATGGTGTGTCCACCATTATACTTCTATCATCCCTCTAAGGCTCACAGGATACTGTGAAGTGTAAGAGCTGGGAGATGAGGAGAAGGTCTATAAATACTCTGCCTTGGTTGTGAGAAAGCTAAAGCAATCATGAATTCAACAGCAGCTACAGTTGCTTATGCTGGACCTTAACAGGACCAGGCCTGTCAATAGACAGTCTTGGACTGTGGAGGGCTCATGGTGCCCTACCCCCTCCCTGAGGAACTGGCGAATTCTGATAGATGCTGGGTAAACAGGCTCTTATCTTCAGATGTATGTTCACCGGTAAGCCCCTCCTTGAAATAGTCTTCCTACATTCTAAAACATAAGCAGTAACTCCAATGAAGTAGAATACATTGTAATTTAGCATTTCTGAAGCAGTGAATAAAAAACCCAGGTCAGTGTGTGACTTCCTGAATCCTCTGGCCACTGTGTCCTTCTCCAGGATGCTCAGCATCTGAGAAAACTGAGCAAACAAACCATGTGCCTCTGCCTACATTTGATTTCTGATGCTGTTTTTAAAGCTGTCACAGAAGAGGGCAGTTTGAAAATGAAGGCACTGACTATTTATTAAACAGAAGTCTGGAAAACATGAGGCAGGAAATTGACAGAAAAGTAAAGTCAATGAAACTTCACTCTCATCCATGACATTATGGAGTTCATAACTGACAGGGTGCAGATGGCACGTTCTCTTACAATATACAAGAAGTGTGCAATCTCCAGACCTATTTTTGTGAAAGAAAATATGTCCTGACAGGACTCACACAGGAGCCAGCTCTGGCCCCAGGCACAGACCATCATGAAGTCAGGAGAAAAGCAATGCTCTGAGCTCTTCATGAGTCCTCCATGCGAAATCACAGGGTGATGTGTGAACAGGTCAGGACCCTTCCTGTCCTGGTGAGGGTCTCTCTCAGTCCTGCTCCTACTCAGCACTCACCACAAGTGTTTATTCTGAGGACTCTGGTCTCCAGTAGCTACTCTCTATGGGAGCAGAGGTGAGCTTCCTGAGGGCTCTTGTGCTTCCCATCACAGACAGGCTCCTCCTGGTCCTGAAACTTAAGTCCACCCTCAGGGCCAGCACCTGCTGAGGAATGCAAATCTCCCCTGGCTCCACCCATCCCTGGGTTGAAAAGCCAAAGCTGGGCCTGGGTGCTCACTGGTGTGCAGCCATGGCCAGGCTTGCTTCCTCCTTGCTGCTGCTGCTTGTCCCTGCATGTGAGTGCCAAGGCCACCCACGGGATGGACCTTCCTATCCTCACCT